GAGCATCCTCAAGGGATGAAGGCTCAGGATGAAGTGGATGAAGGACTTTGAGCCTCCAGGGAGGTGCCACAGGAAACTGGGATTTTCCCTGTTGTCCACCAACCACAAAAAGCCAAAAATCACAGAATCATGGAATGGTTTGGGTTGGGAAGGATCTTAAAGATGATCCAGTTCCACCCCCTTCCATGGATATGGAATCTTCCATTGGATTATTCCTCTTAATCTTTTTAATCTCCAGGTGAAGGAAATTTAAATTAATTGATCTCTATTGTTTGGTGTCAAATTTTCCCTAATTCCCTTAATTTCCATAGTCTCCACCATCCAGTTTTCCCCTGCATTATTCCATGCACCCATCCCAACCCCATTCCTGTTTCCTTCCATCCATGAACTGATCCAAGGGACACCAGGAGCAACTGGAGGAACGAGGGGATCAAAATCCCATCCAAAAAAAACCCCCATCCACTTCAACTCCCAATCCAATCCTCTCCCTGTATCCAAAGCTTTTCTTCATCCCAACCCATGTTCCCATCAGGGATTTGGAGGCAGCTCCTTCCTTTCCCCATTTTTAGCCTTTCCAGGAAGTTTTTGCATGGCACGACACCCATTATTCCATGCTGGAAAACAGAAGTTCCCACCAAACCATCCCCATGGAATGGCCATCTCCAGCTTTGGAATATCCCTGTTGTCCAAGAGTATTTGGACACTTGCTCCAGTATTTTTCCTGCTCCAGCCTGGATGAATCTTTCCCAGAGGGATCAGTGTCTCCAAAAAAAAACACCTCTAATTCCTACCACATTTTGTTTCCAAATGCAGATTTTTTTAAACAAAATTCCCGAAATTTCACTGTCAACACCATGGAGAGTCCAAGCATTGCATGGCTCTACTTGTCAAGGTCTAAAATTCCCATTTCACCCCAGAATTCCCATGAGGATGCAGGAATTCCACCCAGGACCACTCACCTTCTTTGCCACGTGGCACATCTGCTCCGCCGGGAGATAATCGAAGGGAAAGATGAATCTCCAGTTGAAATTCCCTTCTCCTCCCATGGATCTGTAGTGGACATCCGTCTTCTGCTTGTTCTCCTCGTGTCCCACCAGCCACCTGCAGGGACAAACAGAGCCCATGGAAAAACCGGGATCACGGCAAGGATTTGGGATCTCGCTTGGTGTCACCACATCCATGAGCGGGAAATGGAATATTCCTGATCCTGGTGGCTGCTGGGGGTGGGAAAAACCTGGAGATGGGAGAGGGAAGGCAGCAGTCCCAGAGCTGGGAAATCAATCAGGGCTGGGGGGAGCAATTCCAGGACTATGGAATCATGGAATGGGTTGGGATGGAAGGGTTTTAAGGATGATCCCATTCCATGTTCAGGGACACCTCCCACTGTCCCAGGTGGATCCAACCTGGCCTTGGACATTCCCAGGGATCCAGGGGCAGCCACAGCAAATCTGGGAATTGCAGCCTAGGCAGGAATTCCTTCCCAAGATCCCAGCCCAATCTCCCTTTCCCAGTGGGAGCCATTCCCTGGGTCCTGTCCCTCCAGGCCTTGTCCCCAATTCCAGCTCTCCTGGAGCCCCTGCAGGGACTCTGAGCATTGCCTGGAATTTTCCCTTCTCCAGGGGAACATTCCCA